ATACATATTTATGCACTTTTTTACAATTTTTACAATTTTATATTATATTTTTCAGTGTTAAGTGGTTGTATTTGGGGGCCTGGAACCGATTAATCCTATAACGAACGAATGCTATAACAAACAAGGTTCTAGAACCAATTAGATTCGTTATAGCATACCCCACTGTACCACAAAATTGGAGAAATAGTAAGCAAAAATCGCGTTATAGCAAACAAGCGTTCGCGTTATACAAATATCGTTCCTAATTCATAAATCGCGTTAGAGCAAATTCGCGTTATCAAAACACGCGTTATAGCAGAACTCACTGTACTACAAAACATTAATAAAAAATATAATATTAAAAGACTGAACTTTGGGGTTTTTGTTTGTGTAGCAAAGCACTGGATGAAAAAAGTAATTACAAAAACTCATAAAAAGGGGCAATATAAATTAAGGTTTGACTGTAAGCAATACAGCTTACTAAAATTTCCAAGAGTAAACAATTAATAACAGGTGTTACTTTGTCTCTGAAAGCTTACCTCCAGGTCTGTATAATGTCAATCTACACGCAGTACTGTATCACAGTACAATAAATCCCCGATTAATATTGCCCCCGATAATGTTGTTTCGTTATAGCGTCGCTATTCTTTAGATACCCATGATTTGGATAATGTCCCACCGATTCAGTAAAACGTAGTCATGGACTACTTTGTATGGCGCATCACCCTCTCTCATCTTGGCACACTATGACGCTCTCAGCTAGGCATGCTACGCTTTCACTCGCGGAGCGTCACACAGTGTCCCCAAGCGTCCCCGGTCTTTGTTAGGCTTTCACAGTGTTCGTGCGTGTTTAAGTGTTTTTGCTCTTAATACTGTACTCTAACCATTTAAAATAGCTTCAAAGCCCCCATCAAGTGCTATTGATGCTAGTGTTGTGAAGAAGCAACGTAAAACCATTAGCCTTGCTACGAAAATGGAGGTTTTAACCTATTTTGAGAAAGGTGAACGTGCGGTGGACATTGCTGCTTCCCTAGGTCTAACCCCCACAACAGTGCGTACTATCCGGACCAACACAGACAAGATTGAGGTAGTACTGGAAGAGGTACTTCTCTGAGTGCAACAAAAACAGCTCGAAGTTCCGTGATTGAAAAGCTGGAAAAGATACTGGCTATGTGGATGGACGTCCAGAATTAACATAATGCCCCTGTGAGCCTTATGGTTATCCAGCATGAAGCAAAATCCCTGTTTGACGACTTAAAGGCAGCAGAGGGTGAAGGATCGAAGGATGAGGCCTTTACGGCCAGCCGAGGATGGTTTCAACATTTTAAGCACCGTTATAACGTCCATAATATTAAGATGACTGGTGAAGCTGTTAGTTCAGATACAGTTGCTGCCGAGATATTCCCGCCGGAGTTCAAAAGCATTATCGAGGAAGGAGGCTATTCAGCGAAGCAAGTCTTCAATGAGGATGAGACTGGTCTCTTTTGGAAGAAGATGCCCGAAAGAATGTGTATCGCCAAGGAAGAAAAAAGAGTGGCAGGTTTTAAAGCGACAAAAGACCACTTGACGCTGCTGCTTGGCGCAGACGCTGCTGGCAACTTCAAGCTGAAGCCTATGCTAATTTCTAGCGCTGCCAACCCACATGCCATGAAAGTTTACTCTAAGAATCACCTTCCTGTTATCTACAAGGTAAATAAGACGGCATGGATAACCAGCGCCATATTTAGTCAGTGGTTCACTGTGTACGCCGTCCTTGCACTGAAGGATTATTGTACCAAGGAGAACCTGGACTTCAAAATTCTTCTTGTCATTGACAATGCTCCAGTGCATCCTCCCTGTCTCGACGACTTACATGACAATGTTCGAGTTGTCTTCCTGCCTCCCAACATGACAACACTGATGCAGCCAATGGACCAAGGCGTTATCACCGCATTCAAGGTGTATTATTTACGGCGTACCAAGGACCAACTGCTCAAGGCTACCGACGGAGAAAATAAACCTATGAACCGAGAATATTGGTGGGCCTTGCAACATTTCTCATGCAATCAACAACATTGGCAAGGCATGGGAAGCAGTTTCAGAAAGTTGCCTGTGGCGTAAGTTATGGCCCGAGTGCGTTAACTGTTTTACGGGATTCACAGACTTAGTCCAATCTGTGAATATGGATATCCTCAGCTTGGCTAGACAGGCAGGCTTTCATGAGTTGGAATCTGAGGATATTGAGCAAGTCCTGGCATCCCATACAGAAGAGCTTACTAATGAAGATCTGCAACTGCTAACAGAACACAGTGCCGCTAAAGACGATGATGAAGAAGAAGAGCCACAACGAACGCTAACTACCAAGAGGATGGCAGAAGTGTTCGACATGATCCAGCAAGGAATGCAAATTAGGCGTTGCGTGGAAAAACTAGCACAAGCGCCACCCAAGCCACAATCATGTTTATGACTGCAAGCGGTTCTTAAAACACCATATTTTCATGAGGTGATGGATGAAGTGGAAAATGCCACTGACCATATAGTTAAAAGACCATAGACAAAAACCTAGCTTTTGACCATCTTTGTGTGGTGAATATAGTACATCCGCCAAATTATTTGTGTGAAACATACGGCTTTATGTCACAAAGTTGTAAGTGTGTTTGTGGGTTTGGAGTGGGGGTGAGGGTAAAAAGGGAGTTTTATGGTGGAGGCAGCCAATCAGCAAGCAGAACTGCATGCGGGACAGGGCTGGTGGCGCACCTTTTTTCAGTCCTTGTCTTGAGACTTGAGTGCTGAGGAAGTGCATCTCGTACTAAGGGAGAGTGCTTTTCTTCATTAATATCATTGTTTGCGGTTGTGTATTGTCACTACACAACAATATCAAGTGATAGTGCCTACGTTGATGGTGTTGAGGCCCAGCCTGAGCCCTCTATGTCGATTGGAGGCTTCTCTTCAGTAATGTTTTATTCTCGGAAGCCACCTAGAGAGTCGGCGTCCCAGAGCCTGATGATAGTGTAGCCTCCCACAGTGGAAAACCAATTTAGGATGTATTTTTATTATGATAATCATGATTGTAAAACAAAAACATTTACCTGAGTTTTTATAACAAAACATTAAGGAAACATTATTTTTGGTTAGGTGAGGTTAATAGTATTGCTGCAAAAAATTATTTGCATAATTTACAAACATCCAGCTTCAATTTGAAACAAACTGCAACACTCTAACTATAATAATTTCCATGTTATCAATTTCTGAATGTTGCAAACTTTGAATGCATTTCCTGACAAAAAATGAGAATGGTGCTTGTGCTAGTTTTTCCACGCAACGCCTCAAATCTTCATTGATGAAGACCCAAACAGAGAACGTAGCTCAAAGATTGTACGCAACATGGAGGAAACTCTTAGTTGCTATGAGATCTACAAGGACAAAAAGAAGAGGAGCACTAAGCAATCAACTCTGCATTATTTTTTTTGTCACCGGAAGGTAGAAGCAGCATCTTCACAACAGCCTTCTAATGAGGAGGAGCAAACAGCAACGGAGGAACCCCAGTCAGAGCGGGAGGAGCCACCCATCGGGTCTCAGTGACTCGCCACCCTCCTCCTCTGCTCCACTACCCACCACACACTCGCTACACCACCTCCCTCCTTCAGTGAGTACAATACAAAATGATTTAGTTCATTTATATTTTCTATAAAAATGCCATTGAATTCCTGTATATATAATGTATTTTATGGGGCAAAGGGAGGCTGGGGAACGTAACTTCCGTGTTTTATCTATTTCTTATGAGGAAAATTGACTCCATTAACGTTGTTTCCGTTAACGTCGCTGTTGTCAGGAACGGAATCATGACCTTAAGCGAGGATTTACTGTATCCAAACAGAGCAGCTGTTAACATATGTTTAAACAAATATTTTGGCCCTAAATTAGTGAAGCACAAAAACACCCATCAACCCATTCACTTCAGGTTGGACCCCGCTAATCCAGATCCGACAGTCCGGCAGCTTCAGTGGTTTGGGACGGTGATTGAATCTGCCTGTCTTTAGTTTACATCTGTCATAGCTCACTTCTAGTGGCTGATGCCACTATTTTACCTTTAAATACTTATAATTTACCCCTAAATATGCCTCCTAAGACACCAGCAAGCAGTGGAAGTGGCTGTAATGTGGTAAAACATAAGCATGCGACATTAACTATTTTAGAAAAGGCATCTATACTAAAGAAATTAGACCGTGGTACATTGGTCAGGGCCTTGTGTGCAGAATATGGTGTGGGTTCATGGACTGTGTACACTTTGTCATAGAGGTCCAGTAAGCCTGGGCTAGATTTATGCTAATGTAAGTTGTATTGGTACCAGTAATACGTAGTACATTTTATGCATTATTTTGCTGCTTCTTTTTTTTTTTTTACTTCGGCTTTGGTGGTTTGGAATTTTCGCTAATCTGGAACAAATCTGGTCCCAAGCTTCCCAGATTAGCGAGGTCCAACCTATACTGGATGCCACTTTAAAGATTTAATTTGGCTAATGCCTGACGATTTTATTCAGCACAGAGGCCCATTTGTAGCCAAGGGGTTAAAATAAAAAAAATACCTGTATCTTTTCTGAATTTTTCAAAAGCACTACCCTATATGAAGGAAAAATTTCTTAGACATGGAAAAGTGAAGAATTAGAATGTTGTGAATAGTGTAAGGACTTACATGCACCAAACCACAATACAGTACCTGTACTGTAAATACTCTACTGTGCTGTTAGACACCAATATGCTACTTGAGGACAAACAAGGTACAATTCTACACATGCAATGAACTGTAATATTGATCATCAGTGTAAAGTACTATCAAGACTTCCTTTTCTGACAGCCACTCAAACAAACAATGGTGACACATTACATTAATTTGTTGATGTTTGTGTTGCCCCTCATTAATATAATCTTGATAACAGTTTCAGTACAACTGTGGTTTACTGTACTGCACTGTAAAATGATACCTACTGTCCTTGAACGTTTTTGAGTGGCTGTTGGAAATGAAAGTTTCTCAAAATATGCTACCTGAGGGATGTCGAGGCAAGAGAGGAGTTCGCTCAGTCGGCATGGCACACACTGACACTGCTAGAATAAAGAATACACGTCCTGGCTAATGCCAGACTTGTGCCTTTCAAGTAGCTACGGCACCTTAAACCACAACAAATCCTGGAAGGAATAGTTTGTAATACAGTACAATACTCAATACAACTCCAAATTAATTCATAAAGTCCCTTTATATAATTCAATACAGATAAATTATGTACAGTGCTTTGAAGAGACTAAGAAATCAAAGTTCCCAAAACAGAAATTTCTAAGACAAATAGCCTGTAACAATATGTACAATATTCACAGTTTTTCACTACCACCAATCAAATACTCACTCTAAATTTTACTAAAATAACAACATTCCCAAATATCACAGCTAGTTCATAAACTTCACTTGAAAATTTTCATACTTTGATATACATACCGGTACAGTACAGTACCTACTGCACTTGTACAGGATTCATTTCTCAATTTTTGTCCCTAGTGTTGTAACACTGTACTAGGAAGGTAGCAAACAACTTTTTTTTTTACATAAAGTGCTAAATATCATAATTATGGCTGAAAGAAAGCTACAATATTACTGTAGTTACTGTTTTTGTTATTTTGCATTAATTTGGATAACAATAAGCTCAAAATGTTATAGAAAATATTTGTTTAAAAATTATTTATTAAAATCAACAATGACTATGCACTTAATGAACATTAAAAATTATATAGAGTGGCAATTACCACATTGTTTTTTATACGAATACAGTACTGTACTGTACAGCTACAGTAGCTATACTGTAGTTGGTGCCAGCCCATGTTTACCATTCTCAAGTTTAACAATTACTTTACCAACCTTTATTATATGAAGATAGGTTAGGTTAGGTTAGGTTTTCTTTTTCTCTTATTCATGTTTTCCTTCTTCTACTTGATGTTAAATTAGGATGGAAAAGTCATGTACAGTATTCTGATACAGGGGCTCCCAAATTTGTGGATTTTTATTTTGTGGTCCTTTATTATTCATGGATGACACTCTGGATTTACCCAAGAAAGTCAGTGGGTAGCTTTAAAGTTGCCGGCATTTTTGCGGTTGGTACAGGGTGCCATTCGTTCTAGAGACAGTAATTTCCTTTACCTGTATTGTAAATATGTGTGTGTGTGTGTGTGTGTGTGTAGATAAACACACACAAAATACATACAAATATATAATAATGAGAAAATACTCTCACAAATAATCAGAACATGAAATTTCATATTTCTATTTATACTTGGAGAAAGCAAAAACAAAACAAAACTATTTTCTATTACATTTCCGGTGCAAATTTATATTTTTTGAGTATTTTAACCGATAAGACTTCTTCAATTACCAACAATATTGGTTGTTCAAAGTGAACAGTAAAGGGAAATTGTGGGTAAAATACTAAAAAGAACACCAAACAATCCTTTGAAAACCTTACCTAACTTGTAAAAAGGTTAAAAATATGGTAATGTCTGAGAACACAACTACCACCAGAAGGAGTTGTTCGATTTTGTTAATTTTTTCCAAGGATGTTCTTATCATTATAAAACAAGCGACATTTACTAAAACCTAATAGAACCTGACTTAACCAACCAATGAATCCCACCTAACCCAATATAAATTCCAAGCCAGGGGACCGACCATAATATTAAACAGAAAGTACTGTTGGGTCTCAATACGTATTGTAGGTCACTTGCCTATCAATTTTTTTTTCCCATCGGCTACCGAACTGACTACAGGTAGTCCCCGACTTACGACTGCTTGGACTTACGGCCGCCGCAGTTGTGACCATTTTTTTTTTTCAAATGACACACGCATTTTCTATACCGAAATGTTTCCAGTTAATGTAGTCTCCATGTATAATTAAAAAATTATGGGGTCCCCATGTGCATTCAGCTGACTACATTAAAGGTAAGTGCTCAGTCACACTGTATCCATTCCTCATTATTTATTACTTTCACTGTACTGTATTTCATTGTAGATTTTTTATTAAAAAAAATGAATTTTTTTTTTATGTCGGACTTACGACCATTCGGACTTACGACCTGGATTTGGGTCCCTAACCCCGTCGTAAGTCGGGGAGCAGCTGTATATTATTTAACCAGCTATGATCAGGATGATCATTAGGCCTAGTGATGAGCATCGGCAAAGACCTTGATCCCCCCTCCATATTTTTCTCCTCGGATTTGCACGATTCACGTGGGTCGATCTGGACGTTCCAAAAAGGCCAGAAATACGGCAAAACCATGAAATCACACTCCTGATCCACCTATATGACGTATGATAAATATGTGGAATAATCCGCTGAAATAAAGTCAGTTAATTATAAGAACAATTCATCTCTGACAATATTCACTGCAGAATTAGTAGATATAACCTGTAATATTTGGTTATTTGATTGCTAACATGATATATGAGAGGTACACAAACAATTCAGTTATTGGAGTGGACTACAGTATTTACAGGAATTTGTTCCTAAAAGTTTAATTATTTACCTATTTTATAGTGCATCATTAATTTATGGTAAGCTTACTGTCAAAATAACAGTACGTACTGTACAGTATTTTGAAATTGAACTAAATTTCCATAAAATTCCCTGGCTTTTTCAGACCAGTAGACACCCTGTATAATGCTAAGAACATGTGGATAAAATGGTAAAATTATCATTTCAGTCTTGCACCAAGAATTTGGAAGTCCTTCAAAACACATAAAAAGCCATCAGAAAACCACAATTTCAACCTAACTTCAACTTAAAAGGTAAATGCATCATTTCGGTCATCCAGCAAATATAGAATTTTAAGTTTTGGAATCAGTAGTTTAGACATTTCCAAGACACTTTTCTTCTACAGCATTTCCATCGGAAGTTTATATTTTTTTTTATTATTTTAACCGATAAAATTACCAACAATATTACATGTTTGAAGTGGGCAGGGCAGTCAATTTATAATAGTAGCCAGGTTTCGATTTTTCCATAAAATATTGGTTTTTCCTTGGTTCTTGTTGTGATTTGAAAGAATCTGACATTCGTTTCTGGTGCTAACCGCCTGTTTTTGTGTTAAGCCCCCTCCCTCATGATGCATCTGCTCCTCAGGTGGTCAATTTAGGATAGTAGCCAGGTTCTGAATTCCGTTATTTAGGTTGGGTTAGGTTAGGTCCTTCTCTCATCCCTGTCACGGGGGAGGGGGCTTAACTCGAAAACCACGTATTTTTTATGTAAAAATCGAAACCTGGCTACTATTATAAATTGACCAGCAGGGCTTTGAAGTTGAGGGAAAATGTGGGATAAAACAAAACCAAAAACACTAGACAAACTTTTGAAAACCTGACCTAATATTTCCTAACCTTTAAAAATCCTAAAACTATAAAAAGTTTACCGTATTCATCTTTTCGGTGTTTAGTAGGTGATGGTGTTGTTTTCGGCTTTTAGTATGTGTTCGTGTTGTTTTCAGTGCTCCGATGAGGAGGAATCCATAAACTGGAAATTGATTCTTCACATTTTTACAAGTTAGGAAGCATTAGGTAAGGTTTTCAAAGGTTTGTTTGGTCTTATTTTGGGTTAATATTGACGACTGACCCGCCGATGAGTTATTTGTTTTGCTGTTTATTTTCTTACTCTATTTTCATCAGTCAGTTCTGATATGGTAATCATTTCTTGTGCAAATGCTTCGTTCGGCAGATAATTAGGCGCCTAGGCGCGCACTACCTTGTCTTCTCAGCGGTAATGTGGTGGTGATGATTCATCCCAGGATGTAAACAGCCGGGGCTGGATCAACACTGATGCTTAGTGTATGCTTATGTCCCGTTTGATATGGGCGGCTGCCCTCACATCCACAAAAAATTTAAAATTACACCATATCATAATAATATCTTTCTGATTAATATCCTAGGGGGGGGGGGAGAGGGCTAGGAAGTTAGGTAAGATTAGGTGTGTTTGTTTGGATAGGTTGGTGAGGTCTCCTAACAATGCTTCTGTTGCTTGTTTTTCATATCAACTAAGGTCAGGTTAGGTTTAATTTAGATATAATCACTTTTTATAACATTTGCACAAACTACGACAGTGTCCACTATACAACATAGCGAAATTGCGGTGTTTTAATTATCGATTTCTATGAAAAATCGACTGCGGGTCAGTTATCAATAACGGATTAGGGTCATCTCGTACCCAAGACAACTCATACCCAAGATAAATTTCTCTCAAAAAAGTTAACTCGTACCCACGCCAACTTATACCTAAGATAACTCGTACCCAACTCACGAGATAACTCGTACCCAACTCACGAGATAACTCGTACCCAACTCACGCTTTTATTTTTTTGAGATGGAATCACAGACTTTATGGAGTACTGCAGAATACAAATTAACCACAATTAGACAACGAAAGCAGCATGTTAACGGCAACACTTTTCCAGAGGCATGCTAGAATGGTTGCATATCAGAAATGAGGCTCACAAATTTGCAGAAATGTATCCCATGATTGACAACCGTAAATAAGAACTGAACGTATTATTGTGTTGTAAATTCTCAGCTTTGTTGTTCTTGATACGGATCTTCGTATAGTATGCCCAGTACTGTATATATAGGGACTGTCTCGTAAATTGGGGACGAGTTATCTTATAATTGGGTACAACTTGACATGTTCTGATGGGTACGATTTTCTTGAGTACGAGTTGTTCAGCGCCGATCAATAACTACTTTATTTTTTTAGCATTTTACCCCACATTTTCCCTCTACTTCAAAGTCCTGCCCACTTTGAACAAGTAATATTGTTGGCAATTTTATCGGTCAAAATACTTGAAAAATATAAATTTCAACGAATAGGCTATAGATGAAAAGTGTCTTAGAAATGGCTAAACTACTTACTGATTCCAAAACTTAAAACAATAAAATTTGCCGCACGACTTAAAATATAATACCGAAAATGGAGGAAATCGAACAATTCCTTCTTGTGGTACTGGTGTTCTCATACATTACCGCCTGTATCAAGGAATGTCAATGAACCTATATAGGGTACTTCCTTTTCATCTAATGATTACAGCATCTTGAAGCAATTGTGAAATAATCGACTTATCAGTGATCAAACTAGTAATTCTTTGCCATAAATAAATAAAAGTCATACCACTTAACACAACTTAAGTTCTTCATATCATTCTGACTTATCACTATCAAAATTTAAGAGAATCTAATTAAATACTGTAATTTCTTTGGTGTACATGCTGTTGCCAGTGTGTCCCCACCGGCAGCTTTAAGAGTTAACGCCGGCCCCACAACCCCAAAAATTGACACAGAAACACTTAGCACGTCTTTATGGGTTAGATTAGGAAAAACTCACAGGAAACAGAAGTAGAGCTTCGAATAAACGCAAGAGTGATGTCACCCCAACACTCGAGACCCCGTGAGTGTGACGTCTCAGTTGTTTACTCCTGGGGAACACCTCGCTTATTACACCAAGATCATGTATCAATGGTCTAAGATAACACGAACAAGAAATGATACGGGAAGCTGTTATAAAATTTCATTATAATATGCTCAAAGTTGAAGAAGCCACAAGTTCAGAAAATTGTCAGGGCAAACTTTTTTGGAGTTAGAATTGTAAACTTTACGAACGATATGACAGAGTGTTGTGACGATATGGTGTGAGGTCAATCAAGACTTGAGTCACTTGACCAACACCGGCTCAGGTACAGCTACATTCAGAAACCAGTACATCATGTCCAGTACTTACCAACAGTTAATAACAGAAACGTGACCGACAGCCCAAGCCGCTAACCTACGGTGCAATTTATTGGAATGTATTATCTTCCCTTTTTTACATAAAACATGAAAAATATTCTTTTTAGAGTTCTTTTGGCGACACGTAATTGTTTTCTCGCAAAATGCTTGGTTAGCTTTAAGGAATGCCAAGAGGTTATCACTAGTTTTATTTTGCTTATACTGTAAGTGTTGGCAAGTTGTTCTACCTTCCCTCCTTTGATGAGGATAGGGTTATGTGTCCACAGAGGCGGTTTAGTGCTGCCCCCCTTCCTCCTTGACTTAATCCAGGTGGTATAATAACTATGTGGTAATGACATTTACAAGATCACTGCAAAATTCATCCACTGACCCAGGTGTATATCTAGCATACCATCTGTGGATATAGGCCTTAAAATGCAGTTTTAAGATTATCTGGGATGTTAATTCTGAGCTTAGGATGGGGTTCACACTTGACATCAGCAACATTGTATTCAGTAAGTATTGCATAATGATCACTGACTAGGTGGTCTGAGATGACCTTAGCTTTGACATTAATGTCTACTAGGTTATACCCAATCACAAAATTAAGTCTGCCCCCCATCAGATGTGTCACCCCAGTCCAACTCCATCATAGCCCTGCAGAATATGCTGACATGCTATTAGACCAATGGTCTAGTGTGTCACAAATCACTTCCCTGCCTCCTGACATTCAGCATTATCTTAAAGCCACACACATTATTAGGGGTTTCAATATTGAAATAGCCTGTTCCTCACCAGACCTTACCGACCAGTTTCCTATAACGCACCACGAACTAACAACAGCACTAACAAAAGGTGAATCATCCTCCCATGGTGAGGATGGTATAACCTATAACACCCTGAGATTGTTAAATGAGATCCTTAACCATCCACTGCTTGACCTGTATCAAATGAGCCTCACACAGGGTATTCTGCCAAAGACATGGACTCAAGGAAACATAATACCAATCCCTAAAGCTAACTCTCCAAACTTCAGGGCTATTTCACTCACATCCTGTATGTATAAAGTCCTTGACAGAGTTGTTCTCAACCGTTTCATGTTTCAAGTCAAAGACAAACTGGCCCCTAATCTGTATGGGTTCATGCCCGGGCGCAGCACACAGACATGCTTTGCAGAATATCTTGTTCACTCAAAAAATAAGACACAAACAGCCTTCATAGACCTTAAATCAGCCTTTGGTGGAGCTAATAGAGACAATAAACTTGAGCAACTAGCTAATTTTCTTTTATCCTCTTCACCACTGATCGGCTCGTTAGCCGCTTGGGCGATCGGTCACGTCTCTCATTACTTTTCATTTTCTTTTGTCCTCTTCACCAAAAGATCGGCTCGTTAGCCGCTTGGGCGATCGGTCACTTTTTTACTTTTTTACTTTTATCCTCTTCACCACTGATCGGCTCGTTAGCCGCTTGGGCGATCGGTCACGTCTCTCATTACTTTTCATTTTCTTTTATCCTCTTCACCAAAAGATCGGCTCGTTAGCAGCTTGGGCGATCGGTCACGTCTCTGTTACGCAGTGTTGGCAAGTACTGGGCATGCACCGGCTCCTGAATGTACCTGGACCCGCTCCAGTGTTGGTCAAGTCTTGTCTTGAAAGAGCTCACACTCGGTGCCGTCACAACACTTTCTGGTAGATTGTTCCAAGATTTCACAACTCTCACTCCGACAAAGTTTGCCCTCACAGTTTTCTGGACTTGCCTCTTCTTCAGTCTTGAGCTGTGACCCCTCGTGGGGCGAGCGTCCGCCAGTTCCAAGTAAGGACACTCGACTGAGTAGTGCCCCTTGAGATGCTTATACACCTCTATTAGGTCATCCCTTGCCCGTCTGTAGTATAAGCTAGGCAAGTTCAGGCGCTCCAATCTCTCAGGGTAGCTGAGGTGCCGAAGGGCAGGCACCAGTCTGGTGGCCCTCGATTGAACATTTTCAACCAACTGACAGTCCCTAGCATATCTCGGGGACCAGACGGGGTGACAGTACTCCAGATGAGGAAGCTCTTCACTCTTGAAGATCGTTACGAGGGACGGACCGTCTAGATATCTGGACGACCTTATAAGACCCAATAATTTATTTACCTGATTTACCTTCTTCTCGCGATGGCCCGAGAACTTCAGCTCATTGTCAACATACACACCTAGGTCCTTCTCACATTCAGTCTCAAATAGTGCAGTTTCTTCATCCCGTTGGGACATATGATACGCCTCCTTACCGTTGGTACGCCCCAGGTGCATCCTCTCTTACTTCGTGACATTTAATCTCAGCAGCCATTTCTTCGACCATTCTTGGAGTTCACAGAGATCCTTCTGCAGCTCTTCACAGTCCGCTTGGTTCTTGATTTCTCGAAATAACTTGGGGTCATCGGCAAACATTTGTATGGAGGAGTGTACAACGTCAGGCATGTCATTTATGAAACAAACAAACAACAGCGGGCCCAACACACTGCCCTGTGGTACCCCGCTTGTGACAGGTACGGATGATGATTTCGTGCCATTAATCACCACACACTAATTGCGGTCATGTAGAAAGTCTTCTATCCACGCTAGGACATTTCCCCGAATTCCGTACCCTTCCAGTTTGATTTTCAGCCTTTCGCGGGGTACACTGTCGAAAGCCTTGGCAAAATCTAGGTAAATATTGTCGATATTACCACCCCGTTCCAGAATATGGGTCCTAATATCCAATACCTTGAGCAATTGCGTTAAGCAGGAGCGCCCCGGCATAAAACCGTGTTGGCAATCCTTTACAAGGTTGTTTCGTAGTAGATGTTCCATCGCGGCATCTCTGATAATACTCTCAAGTACTTTACATATTATGCTGGTCAGGCTCACCTGTCTATCGCGGTTCGTGGAGTGACGATCGCCCTTCTTGAAGATAGGACTCACATAAGCCACTTTCCATTCACTGGGGACCTTTCGTTCATCCAGGCATTTACAAAGCAGGATCTTCAGAGGCCCGGCAAGCTCGTTGCTCAACTCTTTTAGCACTCTAGGATGCACCATGTCAGGGTCGGGACTCTTATGGACCTTTAGCTTTGACAGTTTATTTCTAATACCCTCTTCTGTGAACACAATGTGGGTCAGTGCTGTGTCGAACCGTCTGTCCTCAAACGAAAGAAGGTTAATCGCATCCTCTCTTGTGAACACCGAGGAAAAGAAGCTGTTCAATGCCTCAGCTTTATCCTGATCAGAATCTGCGTAACTACCATCTTCAAGCCTCAGGTCTGATACTCCTATTCGCGTTTTTAATTTCGACTTTGCATAGCGGTAAAACGCCTTTGGGTTTGACTTGACCTCGCTTGCAACCAGCCTCTGGAACTCCTTTTCAGCCCTTCTACATTCTATCTTTGCTTGGTTTCTGGCTCTTGCATACATCCTCCTGTCCTGCTCATCATTTGACCCAACCCACGTCTTGAATTTCTGGGTTTTCTTCTTAACTTTGTAGACCGCCGCATGGTTCACGTGTAGGGATCTCCTCGTATGCCTAGAGGCACTGGGTTTGGTCTTGGGTATGTATTTATCGATCAAATGGGTCACTTTACTAGTTATGATACTCAGCGTAGTGTCTGCGTTCTTGTGCCTTAATGAATCAGGCCGGATACCCCTCATCTCTTCCCTCATCCCGTTGTAATTTCCCCTGTAATATTTGCACCTTGGCCTGGCCTTATCTTGAACTAGGTAACAGTTAAATCTGAATGACAGCACTATATGGTGACTGGTGCCAACTGGGGCAAGGTGTTCCAGTTTGGCCACCATACCCTCCTCGTTTGTTATGATGAGGTCTAGTGGCTTGGGTGTTTGCTCCCCTCTGTAATGTATCGGGTCTCTAACATGTTGGAACAGAAAATTATCTCTCAGAGTTTCTACAAAAAGAGTAGCAGGGTTATTCAAGTCACTTGGGGTGAACTCGTTTCTCCAGCCGATGTCGCCATAGTTAAAGTCCCCCATGATAAGGAGGTGGCTAGGGTTGAGCATCGCCGCATTGTCTATTAAGGCTCTTAAGTTCCTTTGATTTAGTGGGCCACAGTTTGGGGATCTGTAGATACACCCGACAATAAGTAATTCCCTTCCATTTAGTTTAATTTTACACCACTTGGACTCTTCAAAACATCCTCTCCCTGTACCCTCGCCTGGCTGGCTCTAAGGACTTGCCTAGCATAGATAACCACACCCCTCTTGCAAGTTTCTTGAGAAAGGTTTGTAAATGAGTCATATCCAGCAATACTGAACTCACATTCCTCTGGGTCGATTCTCCTGTTCTTGTACAACAGTTATACAACTCCCACAATATCTGGTTGGTGTACCTTCAGTAGTGTTTCAAACTCCTCTCTTATCAAGAAACGTGCCAGTATTAGTGAACATGACATTCAAGCCAGAATTTGTTCTCGGTAACATCTCTGCTCTTAGTAGTAACCCCGCCCCCCCCTATTCTCAGAAGCTGCAGCATTTGCTAAGTACACTGTAATTTGCAGGGTGTGGTTAGAAATGTCATTATTTACACGGCGCTCGCCTCCTCCTATCTGGTAGGCGGAGCTGTGAGGGCAAACCTTTTCGGAGTGAGAGTTGTTAACTAATTGTTTTTTCAATAATATTAGGTTAATATAAATTATTCGCTGTGCATTTAACTGGAGTGTATTGTTTTCTTTCTTACGGAATCATCTTAGTTTAGTTTAACAAATTTATTGACAAAGCTTGGAGTACAATTTGCCTATTCTGAGTAGTTCAGTCAGGTCTTGACACTGAGGTGGTATCACTTCTCACTGCCACGCAGGACAGAGGTTCATACACAAAGAAATACATCATATTCATTAACAGTATATAGAGGTCAGATTCATGTGGGTGATGTCACTGTTCACTGCCATGCAGGACAGAGGTTCATACACAAAGAAATACATCATATTCATTAGCATTATATATACAGTAGGTCAGAGTCTTGTGGGTGATGTCACTGTTCACTGCCATGCAGGACAGTTGTTCATATACATTGGACGTCATATTCTAATTGAAGACTAATCAGTGTGGGCGAGCAAATTTGGGATAAACAGCAAGAATGTCCTCAAGCACCCCTGATTCAATGTAGTAATTACAAAGTTCATGATACAATAAGACAGGTGTCCTGAAGTCTTTGACAGTGTCACATTCAATAATATAGTGTTCAAGTGTATGCTCTAAAGTTTATCACAAATCATCGAAGTATTTATTTTTCTTTTGGAACGAGACGTATTTTACATTAATTTAAGATAATTATATTTATGTTATCACCATCTAGTGTGAATAAGCATGAACTTTTATGTAGTCTTCTACAAACTTTTTCGGGGTGAGAGTTGTGAACCCTTGGAACAATCTACCAGAAAGTGTTGTGACGGCACCGAGTGTGAGCTCTTTCAAGACCACACTTGACCAACACTTGAGCAGGTTCAGGTACATTCAGGAGCCGGTGCCTGCCCAGTACTTGCCAACAGTGGGTAACAGAGACGTAACCGATCGCTCAAGCGGCTAACGAGTCGATCAGTGGTGAAGAGGATAAACAATTAATAAAACTTGGCCCACGGTTTATTGTGACATCTGTTGATTATACCCGTAATCAAAATGACGAATAAGAGTCTCAAAAGATAATATATAGTTAATGTCAACATTTCGTAGGTAATGTGTATTTAACACCATATGCAAATTATGAGTATTTGTAAAACATATTTCTTTTCCTAGTACTGTAGGTAACAAAAAAAAGAGGATTAAATAAGAAAATGTTGAAATGAAATGTGGTTAGTGTACGATAACTATCATAAACATATGGTAAATTGCCATCTACATAAGATATACGATATAATGTAGACCATACATGTAATTACATAAATATATGATAATCCAAACCGGGTTTTGGAACATGGTCATTAAAGCATCTGAACGTACACACGAATGTTTTAGGACTCACAGGAAAAGCCCAACATTACATATCAGTCATGGGTACAGCTGATCCACTTATCATCAGTAAGAAGCATATCTTGTCTATGTTAATATAATCGGTCTAGCACTAGACCTGAGACGGTTATAATATGGATAACCTATCCACACTGACACATACATGAGGACTTGGCACATACAGGTTTGCTGGCAAGAACACAGCTATATAAATTCTTTGATGAGTTTATACTGTGAAACATATATTGTCACACAAGTTGCTTTGTATATACAAAATCGTGTTTTCTTATGGCTTATGTATGGGGTGTACGACAATTTATAAGAAAACGACAATTATAGAAACTTAGTACGATAATTTAGACTTGATCAAATTTGTGTTGAAACAGACCAGTCGATCTGTAGTGACGGTGGTGTGTTGTGGTGTTGTATCAGGTCTTGTGATGTTTGGATTTGTAAATTTTATTTTCAACAAAAAATAATGCAGTTTGGAAAAACGAGCAGTAATAGAATTACGGCCGTGATTACGATAATTTTATGTATAATACGCAACTGCCACAGCCTGCACGTTAAGGGAATATGGCGAACCGATGACGAATTTTTTCATTTTTTGACTAAATTTGGCTTCCAAAAGACGACGCCGCATGAAAGAGAACTAACAGAAGGCTTTATCTTCGGAAACGTGACTAGCCTCGGAGGTAATGTGAGTCACACGGGAATCTACGGCACATTGATGTTACTACCTCGCCAGTACTTCGTCGACTACTACAGGAACAGGACCCAGGCGATCTCCGACCCTGACCTGGCATGTAGACTTATGTTCCAGGTCAGTGTGCTAATATTTTGATATCTATTATGTGACCTCCAGAGGAAATTCTGGAGCAGATGGTAAACATCAGAACGCGTTGTTCGATTTAGTTAATTTTTCCACATTTATTCTTTGGATGATAGTAAGTAAAGAAAATTATACGACAATGCACAAAACCCAATAGAACTTTACCTAACCAACCAAAGAAACCTAACCTAACTTCCTATATGGGGACCAGACCCCCTCGTCATATTAAACAGAAAGTACTTTGATATCTGGTCCCATTAAAAGTAAGTTTCTCGAAGCGTCATGTTGTAATTTTACGATTTTTTGTGGAGGTTCGAGTACACTCGAACCAAGTGTAAACAGAGCAGACGGCTACGTGCTAACACGACAGATTTTTTGGCTCCATATTTATGTTAATAATTTCTTTGCGTATAGAGCACATAGACATCCTTCATGTCCTGCCCACTACAGCTGATTTATGATTGTAGATAGAGAACTAAAAAAAAAAAAAACTAAAATTTAAATCAAAAGTTGTATAATTTTTATTACTATCATCCAAAGAACATCTGTGGAAAAAATGAACAAACTAGAACAACTCCTCTTAGTGTTAGCCATTTCCTTCAGTATTACCTCTCCTGATGCCAGTGTTATGACCTCTTATTGGTAGTCTTATAATTTTTGCAGTTTTCTCTTTAATGTTAATTTATTATTACTGTATTTTAGTTTCGGTCATCTGGGGAATCTTAGGAAATAGATTAGGTTAGGTTAGATTTCCAAACTATGTTTATTTTATGTTTTTTTTGTGTGTTTTGAATGATTTTGACCTTCATATCTGTCCATCACCACGACCTCATCTGCAAATTTGGTAAGAAGCTTCTACACCATCCTTGACACTGGCTCCTACTACCACTTGAGATCCCTAGCCCGAGAATTGCTGTTCGACACCACAACCGCATCCAGCCCATACGTGCACGAACTGATCGCTATAAGAACAGCCCAGTCCCAACCATTGTAAAAATTATCAATAACTTGTAATAAACCAGTGTATTCACTCCCAGTAAATACTACTTCTTGCACTGTCACTATGTTGAAATGCCCTGTAGTTTGAGCTTTTCTCCATCTAGTTATTATATATCTTATTTATATCACTTATGTTATTTGTATATTATTTGTAATTCGAAACCCATTCCCCAGATATGTAACTGTATATTTTCAGCCTTCTGGCTGCCAAGCTCTTTCAATAAACCGTTAATTATTATTATCATTATTATTAGTTCGGATATCTAAAGATACGGATGACTGACACTAAATTTTACTTTTAATTTTCCTACAGTACTGTATTTTGCTTCTCGTATTAAAATATGTAAAGATTCAGTAGATGCCAACCATGGAACTCTACAATCATCTTTATAGAGGGAGGTAGAGCAAAAAATTTTGGCAGGCACAGGATATAGGTATGGCAGGCATATGCAAAACGTTGATGTGTGTTTATATAGTTATATTTGCTTGGGTGTCCATGCATGTATTTCCTACTTATGGTTGTATGCATGTGTGTGGGGTTGTTTGGAGGTGAAGTGTTGTAAGGCTTTGTGGGAGATTACATAGAGTATTACAGTACTGTATACAAGAGATATTGATATTGAAACAGTTTATTTAGGCTCGCAACTTCCCATGAATAACAGAAGAGTTCATCATTGCCTTGAGGAGAGGTCTTTAGGCATATGTTTGACGGCAAATATTTTTTAATGTAAATTTATACTGTACTGTACATGAAATTGAATAACCTTACATAACAGTTTATGAATTCTGTAGCTGATATTTGCACTTTTTTGGATGAGTAACTAAAAAGTAGGATGTGTTTGCGAGGTCTGAAACAGCTGGTCCAATGATCTCAATCAAACTTAATTCTGCTTTGTGTTTACTAATGAAACTGCTGTACTCTGAAAATCTGAAAATACTGTATATTGCAGTGCAATATTTTGACCCATTAATACACACGTCAAAAACTCATATGATGCAGCAAAAATGTACTCTACGTATTTATAAAAGGTGACGTGATCTAACACCAATTTTGAAAGGTCAGGAATTTGCTTTGTGTTTCTTTTTTCTTCTTTTTTTTGAGAGAGAGATAGCACATAATAGAAGGCAAATTTGCATAAGTCACCTGGTATTAAATTTTGAGACTTTTATGGCTGCAATCTATAGTTTAGACAATTCTAAGACACTTTTTTCTATGATGTTTCTCTCGCAAATGACCTAACCTAGCCTCCGAACCTGGGAGCTGGACCCCTGGGCCCTGGTAAATATAGTAATTCATTTGCAAAGGAAATGTCATAGAAGAAAAAGCCTCAAATAGAAATACTCTGTATGTAACAAAAGTAAATATTTGGAGTACTGTATACCTGCGAGCAAGTACAGTAGCTATATGTGAACATTGCCGCTACCTACGCTGCCCTTGTATAGATTTTTCTGCAGAAATCCCCCTACATAGGAGCCATCATCTAAGGTCATCAATTTTATTGTCTTTGATCACAGAACACTAACATCACTCTCATACAAAATTACGCACACACCTTTGCAATAACGATGCAAGTCCAGGGTATACCTTTTTTTAATTTGGTATACCTGATGACACTGCCCCCTTGGGCATTTTGAGAAATAAAAAATGACCACTGCCCCATCTTTATTTTGTAATACTCTTATTTTGCCAAAAGAACAAAATATCTGAATAAGATAAACCTCAAATATCATGCCGTTTGGGTCGAGGCATTGATTAATCATAGTATTGTTATGACAAAAAAAATAAACAAGATGGCCTCTATACCTTCCAGAAACTTTCTAATATCCCTATCTCTCCAATTCAATAGATCATATCATTTTATTTTTTGTCATTCTATAATCAAAATATTGGTTAAACTTATTTTCAAAACAAAACAGGTGTTCTGTTACCCAAAAAAGTCAATACAGTTCTGTTCTTTCACCTACTCTCTTCCTTCTTTTTATCAATGATTTACTGCTACTACTAATTCTATCCATTCTTACACTGTAATAACCCATTGTAGTACCTCCTTCTTTCCTCACACAGCAAAACTGTGGAACGCTTTGCCTTCTGTGTTTCCATCCTCTTGCAAAATGTCTTGCTTCAAAAAGCTGGTTTTCTGGCATCTTTGTGCCCCGTGAATGAATGAATAAAGGCTAGTGACAGGGGGGAAGGAGGTTCAGTGGAAGTTTAAAGAGAGGATGGAAGGGAATTTTAGTGGGAGAGGACAGATGCCGTGGCTTAACACAGCTTGCATGGTGTGGGGTTCTAGGTTTGAGGAGGTAGCAGCACCCAGCTGTGGGTCGATGACCTGTGCGCAGGTAGGCTATTCCCCCCCCCTCTATGTTTGTCTTTGATACCCCCAAAATGTTCTACACTACGGAGGGTATACGCAAACACTTATCTTGAAAATAGGTTCTTATTCTCGTACGGGAGATATACAGAGGAAACAAATAGACGTGGGCTTCCACACCATAAGGACTAGCGATCTCAACTCTCTGTATCACTCCGCGCTGGCATGTACAGATGCCAGCATTCACAAGCTGAATACATAATATGTAAATATGATAATTCACATACATAACATGGTGCATAATAAATGGAAATATTACATAGGATTAATACATGTTCTGTAATTCTTTACTATACATAATTAATAGAGTAATATAAGAATACACAGCTTAAGGTACTACTTCGTGTCCATATTATACACCCCACCAAAAAAAACCTAAAAAAACCCTATCAACTTATTTCCATACTGGTGCAGTACAGTCGGCCCTTCACATACGCGGGTTTTTAGCATGCATGATTCGCAAATACGCGGATTGCCCCCGGAGGAATATTCTGTACATTAAGTAATTAGAGTACATTCAAATCGGCGCCATTCACCGGCATGGCACACCACACCTCCCGCAACCTCACACACACACACGCATAGCTCTCCCTCACTCAGTCAGTCTCGCTGTAACCACGCTTGTGTTGACATCAGCATTGTAGTTGCAAAAATATTACATTTCCGTGAATGTATTATATCAAGCACAGTATGAATAGAATATCACTAATATAAGAGTATTTTAACCGAAAACTACTAAAAAAACGAGTAACATATCTTGAACATCGGAAGGCTAGGTAAAGTCTTTTGTTTTCATGTAGTTTATCCTAATTTACATTGAAATGCATTACGTTTCAGCAAAACTACTATTTATTTCTGAGAATATGGAAATGTAATATTTTGCTGAAATGACGTACATATTACAGTGGAAAGTGACGAAAGCAATGACTCGCTTTCTTTCGTTCAAAAGATGTTACCGTAATCGCTTTTGAATGGTTTTCAGTTAAAAAACTGTTGTATTACAATAATATTCTATCCTAATTCACTTGTGATGCAACAGTTTTTTTAACTGAAAACCATTCGAAAAGCGATTACGGTAACATCTTTTGAACGAAAGAAAGCGAAAGTCATTGTTTTCGTCACTTTCCACTGTAATACGTACGTCATTTCAGCAAAAATATTACATTTCCGTGAATGTAGTATATCAAGCACAGTATGAATATAATATCATTGTAATATAACAGTATTTTAACTGAAAACTATTAAAAAAACGAGTAACATCTCTTGAACATTGGAAGGTTAGGTAAAGTCTTTTGTTTTCGTCATGTATTTTATCCTATTTTACATTGAAATACATCACGTTTCAGCAAAACTACTATTTATTTCTGAGAATATATTCATTCAGGCACAGTTTAGGTAAAATATACATGTGCTGTAACATTTTTTTAATTGAAAACGATTCGAAAAACGCGTACCCTCTAGCCCTGTTCAAGGAGAAGACTGGGAGGAGCTGTTTGGTGCTTAAGACGATGACAAGGAAAATGATTTTAATGGATTTTAATGAAAATATTCAGAAAGACCCTGGCACTGTCAAGGAAAGTGGCTGCTGAAGGCTTCCGGGACATAGCAGAGGACGAGATT